CAGGAAAGACCTTGTATCTTGTCCTCGGTACCCGACAACTCTAATTCTGTTATTAAAGAAGCCAGGCTACATGGCCATTGCTACATCGAATACGAAAATACCTCGATCTTGGAAATTATGTCCCGTCGGGTCCGAGCTACGATAAGTATCTCACAGCGTATCTGGGTGGTTGCTTAATGTGAGACCCAACTTAGATAAATCTGCAGTTTGGCAGGGTTTTTTTCCTGTAGGAGTACACCATCGCGTTCAATGTTTTAAATCAGACTACAATTCCACCTAAGGCAGCTTTTGATAGCAAGCTCCGTGGACCAAGTATTCCCACAGATGACTATAAGCGCATACATTTTGTCGGGGGGCGGGGGGGGGGGGCAGCGTCAGCTAGCAAGAACGTCCACTGGCGTTCTTCAGCAGAAAGCTTAATGGAAACACGCAATGATGAAGCTTGAGTTGCTCTTCATTGTAAAAATGCTTTGCGAGACCCGAAATGTTTTACTTGGGCACCGTGTTATTGTCCACACGAACCACAAGAACTTATCGCTCTCGAACTTTCAGTGATATGATATTGTGTAGATCGCGGGCTGGCGTCGAGAATTGTCTATATTAAGGCCAGAGCAATATTGTTGCCAATGCACTTAGTCGCCTTCCTCAAAGCAAATATGCTGATAGCGAGGAGTGCTACGAAGTTGACCCAGATGGCGAGGACTTCCCGCTGACTTTTGATGCTATCTTTGAGGTCTAAGAGACAGGCAAGCAATTGAAGCAGCAAGAACGTCAAGGTAGGCTTACGGACCAACAACAAACAGAACGTCCGTTACTGTACAAGGACAAGAGCATTCCGATGCCAACCTTTTGCGTCGTCGGACTATTCGACGGTATCACCAATAGCTCAAGCATCCCGGTATGAAAAATCGGACGATCCACCAGCACTTCATCTGGTCGAAAATCAAGCATGCGATTTAAAGGCTCGTTAATCGCTGCGAAACCTGTCAGAATTGGAAACAAAACATAAAGAAAAGATAAACTACCTGCCACTGGTGTTAGTCGACATATTCGGTCCTTATACGCACCCAAGACCTGACAAGAAGTTTAGATCATTAGCCACGATTGATTCTGCAACTAGTCGATTTTACGGTGCGTCGGCACCGGAAAAAAGGAAGCAAAAACTACATGGACAAAGAGTGGTTCTGTAGATACCTGCACCGAGAGTACTGTATTTCCGGACAAGGCAACGCGTATTCCATTTAATGTTCAAGAGCTACGACGTGCCGCTCTATAGTTTTCTTCCAGTTATTAACAAAGCGCATGTTAAAATACCATGTGACGACCAAAGAAAAGCTACATTGGAGCAGACGATCAACAATTTCGCTGCCACGTTCCATTCCGAGCCGCCGTAAAAGCGAATACCGTATCTAAAACGGCGTAGTTTTCTAAAACGCATAGAATATCGCTCTGATAGTTGAGGTGGTTGTTCGTCATAGTAGATAAGTATTGCTAAGCGGACTTCTAAAAATGCATCATGGATTTGCTTAGGTTAGCTACCGCTGTGCTCTCCTTGGGATTGACGAGTAGTACTAGCTTCAACAAATGCATCAGTTTCAAACTTATCCGGTAAAGCATACGACACGTACAGCATCAAACGGTGGGTCTGACTTTAGGCGCTCCTGATGTTTCGCCGGTGTCTCCTCACCACGCTCTCAACGGAGAGCGCGGGAAACGTAACACGAAAGCCTTACGTCCGTACTAGCTGTCGACGAAGAACCCCTCGAAGGATACCACATGCAAACGGTGATGCCACATCATTGTTTGTCCTATAGGTGACGTAGTCTAGTTCCATCTTGACACGAACCAGCTGAATTATAGCGACTTAAACCCGCGTCTTGTTGTGAATGGACAAAAGGCCTTGTAGTGGACGGTCAAAACCCGCGTCAAGTAAGTATAGCGCATTCCGTACCGGATACCCAACGTGGTTAGCTTATGCCACTCTGCTGTGGCGTGTTTGGTCGATTGTCTAGTCTATCCTTCTCACTTATATTCCCGTGTATGGATTTCCGTTCTACAGCGATACACATACCAATATACCGAACCAGGTAACTAAAAGCACAGACCACAAAGGTCACAAAAGCTTCGCGCTTGAGCATTGCCCGCCCCTGCTCCGCCGCCGCACAATCCGCTTGTTAATATGACGTGTGATGTTTATTAATAGCAACTCCCACGGACAGAAAACATTTCGATGTCCAGTACTGTTGTTGTTGTTAAAGGCAAATGCCGAAGTGAGTAGATTAAAGTCAATTAAATCTGTCCTCTAAACTTCAGTGCTCCTGGCCATCCACCAGATTAACCGGTTTAAGACCGGTCCATTTTGGAAGGTCACGCCGGTTAGCCGAACCGTGCAGAGTCGGTGCATATCAACACTCCCACTCACCGCTACTGCACGTCGTTACTCTTCTTGATTCCACTTGCTTCGTGAAGGACCGCTAGCGACTTCGTTCCCAGTGCTTTCGTAAGCATGTCAGCTAACTGCTGCTTCGTGTCGATGTAGGCCACCTTGATTGTGGAACGTTCCACATTCTCTCGAATAAAGTGGTGACGGATATCCACGTGCTTGGTCCTCGCGTGATATCCAGCGCTGCTTGCAAGTGCAATAGCACCTTGATTGTCTTCCCAGACCTGCGTCGCTCCCACTTGCTCGTGGCCCATATCCTTCAGCATGGCACGTGTCCACAGTACCTCTTGAGTACAAAGGCTTAGTGCCATGTACTCTGCTTCCGCTGAGCTAAGTGCAACCGTCCTCTGGTACTTGGACTTAAACACCACCGGAGCGTTCCCAATCATGATCATGACGCCAGACACTGAACGTCTGTCGTCAATGTTGCTTCCCCAGTCTGCGTCCGTAAACGCTTCTGCCTTGACAGCTTGCGTTCCAAATCCACTCGCTCCACTTTTGTATACGATACCATGATGGCGAGTGGACTTCAAATACTGCAGAACACGAATCGCTGCCTTCCAGTGTTGCGTTCCAGGATCCTCTAGGAAGCGTGACAGCTGCGTGACAACGTAGGCAATGTCCGGCCGAGTACAGGTTGTGATGTACATGAGGCACCCGATTAAGG